TCTCTCTATACATGTATTTTCACACATACACACACATACATACATACATACATACATACATACATACATACATACATAATCATACATACATAATCATACATACATACATACATACATACATACATACATGCACGTATACCTATATATACATATATATATATATATGCATATAGAAATATGTGTGTACATGCATGTACACGTACATGACATTTCGTTACATGACAATAAATGGCATTGCATTGCAGTACAGACAGAGACAGATGGGCAGACGGACAGACAGACAGAGCAGGCAGGCACGCAGGCAGACCGTCAGACAGTCAGATCGGCAGGCCGACAGACGCTGACAGGCAGACAGACAGACAGAGACAGACAGACGGACGGACGGACGGACGGGCAGACACACACAGACAGACACAGATCACACAAACATGTACGCATACGCATACATGCGTACGCATCTTTGGTTTGCATTATGTGTGTACCGTAAACAATCCATACTGGCTTTGCTTGGCTTTGGCAGCTGGCTGCACCGTGCTTTCTAAAGCTGTGTCGTGAGAGGTGCTGGCTTCTCCTGGATGACCTCGAAGCAGCGCCAGGCTCGACTTCCACAGACTAGACATTCTCGTTTCGACTTGCATCTCATGACAAGGTCTCGCCTCCGAACTCCAAATTTATACCTCACTACGCATGGTATGTCGGAGCGGCATGAAAGTTTCGCTTACGAATGTGTGTGGCGCTTGGTGGTAGCACATGTGACACTCTCTACGCATGCTTCAGCAACGAGAAGTTCGCGACAATATGAGTACGCGAAAGCGTGGGTGAGTTTTGCCCGGGTGGGGCGCAGCAGGCATCCTCCGAAGCTGTCTTGCCCAAGACTTTCTACGATTCTACAGTCTTAGCACGGTGTGCGTTAGCCTGTTTCCAAGGAGGTCGACGAAGAATATCTCCGGCACAACACTCCCATACCATGGTATGCCGCGGCCACAGACTGTCGTTTACCTTGGTCATGCTGCGGTTGACTAGTTGGAGAAGCCGTTGGAAGTCAATAGTCATCAGTGAAACCTACCACGGACACAGGTAGCAAATGGTAGCAAATGGCATCCACTCAATTCAGTTGGTGTTTGGAAGCCAGTTCATAGACTAGTGCTGCCCACGCGCTGCCCACGCGCGTTTAGATTTCTGGATGAATCAGGGGCAGGCTTGTCGCAAGGTGGGCTTTGAGAACTGTAGACTCTAGTGATAAGGTTTATAGGCTGCTCGGGGAGCCTTGAACATGCGCATTGACATGATGCCGCTTGACCCTGTGCAAGTCATGTTTGCAATCGTAGATCGAAATCCCAAGCGCAGATGAACCACATCCTACCAGCAACACACACACACACACACACACACACGCGCACACCCCCACAGACACACCCTTCTTTGATCTGTCCAGCCTCTACCGAGGACTGGGCGAAGTCGTTGCCTCGGCGCAAGTCAAGGTTTCAGTGCTGCTGCTGCCCTCAGCTCCTCCATGCAGCCTTCGGAACTACCATCACTGTTGCTTTCTTTTTGTGTGTGCCCACCTCGCCTCTTCAGTGACATCAGCGATGCCTCCGCCCTTCTCAGCTGCTGCCCTGCGACTGTCACTTGCCAGTGGCATTTTCCACGTGGCTCTGAAGCGCGAGGTCCTACGAGAAGAGCAGCAGGGGCCAGCGCATTTCAGCATGCGGCGCCTGGCTAAGCACAGCGATGCAGGGCAGCAGGGGGCCCTTCTCCAGTAGCCGACAGCCTCAGCCTCTCTCTTGCGGATGCGAGGTTGGAGCCTCGACAACTCCAGGCGCACATCCCCACAGCAGTGGTGGCGAGATGCCATCCGTGGCCAGGCCAGGCCAGAGCCCAGCTCTGTCGACGTCCTGCCTTGACTCCGCAAGGAAGTTCGGGTCGACGGCCCTGGCTCCACTGTTCGGAGAGTCTTGTCAAGGCAGGTGTGGCTGAGTGCCATCTTAGCAGCATCTCCATGTCAGTGGGTCTTGTCCTGCCATCGAGGGCATGACGCATAGAAGCAGTCCCAGCTCCGTCTGAGCAAGACCCAGTAGACCCTGGGTCCGGAATCTTCACTCTGACTCAAAGAAGACAGGTCGGAGATCCTGGAATGAAGTTACCAGTGTACCCTTTCCCAGCCCTCCTGCAGGTCGCTGTCCCCGACCCGACAGCGGGGAGGCTCCAACAACTCGCCCCGCTCGCTGACTCCTTTGGCACGGCAGAGCCTGGGTGGCAGCACAGGGGGTTTGTGCGGAGGTCCAGGGAATCCTGACTGGCTGTGACCGAAAAGGTTGTTGGGTCCCCGATGCCGTGGAAGCTGTTTGTCGACCAGGGAGATTCCTCGGCCCCTCGCACGGCCCAGGAGCCATCGTTTCGGCTCGCCTGCTCCTGCCAGAGAGACAGCAGTTCCAAAGCCCATCCTCCTGCAAGAGGACTGCCGCGAGATCTTGCTGAGTCGCAAAATTTTCGCAAGGTCCACAATCAGCAGCCGATCTTAAGACTTTGTCGAGACGTTCGACCGACTACGAGCTAGTTCTAGTGGGCGACGATGTTTCCGGAGTGCAGAGCATCGCAGCCGATCTCGAAGGAAGCCCACCTCACCTCACGCCAGGGCGCTGAGAGTGGTCCGTTCACGGTGCCTGGGCAGCCTCTGACGAGTTTCACCTGTCCTTGGATTGGTGGCGTGTATGCTGTTTCGGACGAGATTCACGGAGCCCGGTGACCCAACATCGTTAACCAGTTAGTTTCGCATGGTTCATCGGATTACAAACCTTCCCTCAACTTCGCGGCGACATATCGCTACGCTGATTTCGGGTGGGACTCCCCAGGTGCCCCTGGCAGGCCCATGCAGGCCTCAGGCTTGCACCGCTGAGGTTGCTCATCCTGAATGGTGCCGTGGGGGCGGCCCCACCTTCGCAAGGACAGGGCCGGGTCACAGCAGGTCACAGCCACGGGTTCTGCCTACTGCTGGACCGCTGAATTCGATCTCGAAGGTGCAGCCCGACTTCTGTTGATCAGCTGTTACCATCTGTCCCACGTCGATGCTGCGTGGCTCAAGTCCAGCTCATTACTATACATGGCTACTCCCTCGCATTGCAAAGCGTGAACTATGCCATTGATTCTCGGAGGCAGGGGAGCAAATATTTGCGAGGGACGCTGCTGCGGCCTTCCGGCATCAATTCCATGGGCATGCTGTCAGCACAGTTCGACGCAGTGTCCTGAATCGTCCAGCCATGCAAATACAAGTTTCCGCCGCAACCACGTCGCCGAACTGTTTATCTAGCTGTGACTGAGCACGACGGGGCAGAGAGACACACCGACAACATGAACTGTCCTCTGACCGAAACTGCCGCCCGTAGTCCGGACGTGCGAGAAACTGCTACAAATTGACCCGAACGATCTCGAATGTGCAGTTGACGGCACATCTGCAATTCAATGCCTCATGTTCAGCCCTAGACATTTATGCTTCCTGGGTATCATGACACCGAAGACGGACATGTCGGACGGGCCAGGTCTAGCGGGAGCAGCAGTTGGTTTCGGGGCTGCGGCGTGGCTGGAGAGGCGGAAGCCCCCACCAGGTCCCTTGACAGCAGCAGAAGCAAGCGGCGCTGTGAGTTGTGAGGCTGTCTGGCATCGTTTGTGCCCTGTTCGCTAGCTCATGTACGCCAGGAGTAACAAACGATAGAGGCCATGTTAAGCTTTGCTGCTAGTTCATAAAGCATGGGAAGTTCAAAGGAAGATGCGTCAGCATCTTCGCACCACGCCGTGGCATGTGTGTGTTCGTTGTGCGTGCGTGTGTGCGTGTGTGTGTGTATGGGTGTGCAGGCCTCTCTTTTGTTTTCTCCCTGCTCCCTCTCTGGCTCACTCTCTCCCTGTCTCTCTCTGACCCTCTCTCTCTTCTGCTGGTATCTAGTGAGCTTACTATCTAGTTTCTAGTTACCTCTGAGCGTGTGTGTCTGGTGGTATGTTCTTCTACTCAAATTACTACACATGCAACCCCCACATGCTTGAGTGTATGCATGTCTAGGTATAGAAATTGCATAGTCGGCACACACATATTTGTCTACACATGCACACAAGCGCACGCATTTTTATGTTTGTGTGTGCTTTACACGCATGTGCATTGCTGCAAACTGAATGTATGCGTACATGTCTTCAGGTCTTCCGGTGTAGAGGAAAATGTATGGGTGTTACACTAACGCCCCGTGTCCATCGACCGAACAGCACATCCAAGGCAAAGATCCCAATGTCAAGCACGCGTCCTTGGGAGCCCTGGCGTTGGTGGGCCAGTTTAGAGTGGGTAGAAGGTGTTGTTTGTTGGCTTCGGTTCCAGCGCAAGCATTGAGGCAGAGGCGAAGGGCTGACTAGACTCCAAAACAGATCCAATCCTGTTGGTGTCCTCCAAACCTAAGGTGTAGTCCGGCTGGATTGGGCCTATCATCCACTGCCGGGAGATGTGGGGAGCCCTGACAGCTTCGAGTACCCTGTCTACTACCGCGCAGTGCCAGGCCAGGGCCTGTGTATATCTATCTGTCTGTCTATCTGTCTGTCTGTCTGTTTGTCTGTCCGTCTGTCTGTCTATCTGTATCCACATCTATATCCATATCTACACCTATATCAACATGTACATCTACATGCATAAGTACATGAATGTGCACATGTACAGCTCATTTATCTATATTCGAGCGCGAGTGCTAAACATATCTATATCTATATCTATATCTATATCTATATCTATATCTATATCATCTGTTTCTGTATGCTCGCTTGTGTGCCGCCTATGCACTGCGTATGTCTGCGTTCGTGCTTAGTTCGTGCTTTCTTGGCTAGGTAATTGCATTGCTAACTACGCAAGGAGTCTTGCAACGACATTAGATGTATACATGCTCACATGCCTACGCAAGTTACTATTCCAGATAAGCAATGACATTGTTGATGCACCTGTTTTTGTACATGTCTTACATGCCGGGCACGAAAATTGTAGCTGGCTTCACTCGGACTGGCCTTTGTGCAGAGGTCTGACTTTCGAAATTTGCCAGTCTGGCAAGATGACCCCGGAGATTCAACAGAACTTCAAAGATGCCATCGAGTTCTTGGACAAAGAGCGGGGGGTCTCTGTCATAACTTCTGATTGCGGCTTCTTCATGTGGTTCCAGAATGAGGCCCGCCTCTACACTTCCAAGCCGGTGGTGATGTCCTCGCTTGCCCTGCTTCCCTCTTTGCACGCCTCCCTCGGCACAGATGGTAAAGTAGCCATCTTCAGCGCAAATAGTACGAGTCTGGGACCAATGCATGACACCGTGGCGAAGGAGTGCGGTGTGGATTGGAACCAAGGTTGCTATGTGCTTGTGGGCTGCCAAGATGTAGACGGCTTTGATGCTGTGGCTAGCGGCGAGCCTCTCGACCTAGAGAAAGTCACTCCTGGCATCGTCCGAAAAGCCAAGCAGGTCGTTGCTGAGCATCCGGACATCCATGCAATTCTGATGGAGTGCACGCAGCTCCCTCCGTTCTCAGATGATGTCCGTGCAGCCACAGGCCTGCCAGTCTACGACGCCATCGTCTCAGCTGACTTTTTCATTCGGGGCTTTGTGGACAATCCACGCTTCGGGTTGAACGACTGGCACCAGGCCTGGGACGGGCAGCAAGAGAAGTACAAGCTCGGTGACAATGTACAAGACAAAGCGAAGCTGCTCCACTACAAGCCCTAGCCCTAATACGGCCGAGGCTTTTTTGTGCGTTCCTGCGTCGTGCCATCATTGATGGAGAGGCAGCTGTCGCAATGTAGAATACATTCGATTTCGACACTTAGTTAGACCTAGACTTGAGAATATCTCAATCGACGCCAAAGCGCAGAACAACGGCGCAGACCAGCAGACGCTTTGAGGCACAGCTAAACACATGTGCGCGTGTGTGTGGGTGGCACTCGTGATTTGTAGTTGGACTGGTGTCGGTGTCCGGTAGTTTCTCGCTCGGAAGACGAGTGGTCTACACCACAAAATCTGCCCTGCATCAATCTGGAAGTTTCATGCAACCTTAAGATGCTTTCTGCCAGCGTGAGGAGCGGACGCAGCATTTCGCCGTCGCCGAGGCAAACAGCTGAGGTGACGCTTCGACCGCCGGGTTGGGGCGTCGCTCTCTCGCTTTCTCGCTCTGTCGCTCTCTCGCTCTCTCTCTCCTTCTCTCTATCTCTATCTTTCTATCCTCTATCTCTCTCGCTCTCTATCTCGCTCTCTATCTCGCTCTCGCTCTCGCTCTCGCTCTCGCTCTCGCTCTCGCTCTCGCTCTCGCTCTCGCTCTCGCTCTCGCACTCGCACTCGCACTCGCACTCGCACTCTCTCTCTCTCTCTCTCTCTCTCTCTCGAGCGACACACACACACATACACGCACGAATGCGCTTGGACGCATTCACACATGTTGTGGGACATGTATGCATGGACATACATGGATTCGCGACTGCTATGTCTGGGAGTAGCCTGCCGCCTCCATGCTGCCCTGGATTGCCAGGGTCCTGCAAAGCAGAATCGCAGCCAGTCGCCCCAAACGCGGCGTCCTTCTGTGAGACACACCCACTCATGAGCAGCAGAACCCGAAGCTTGTTGCTGTAAGGTAGTTGCTGTGCAGTAATTGATGGTGAACTTGAAGGTTGACTTTCTACTTGGTTGTAGCTGTCCTTGGCTAGTTCCATTGCCGTGCTGCCCTAGTGCCAAACTGTGGAGTGGATGGCCGCCCCAACAAGATGCAAGCACTCAGGAGGTTCAACCCAAGTCCAAGACCCAAGACCCTCAAGTCCGCGGACACCGAGAACGGACATGGCAAGAAGGTATGTAGCCATGACTACGCGAATCGCGAGTCAGGTTGTATCTGGTTGAGATGTACTATATGTAAGATTGGACAGCCTTGCGAACCCTGTAGTGCTGCGCGGTCCGAACCATTCCTCATTGAGGAGCTGCATGTTGGGGCTTGGCTTTCTTGCAGTCGTAGACGTGCAGGCAAACGGCGAATGGGCATGCGAGTAGCAGTGCCAAACTCGCGATCTGAGGATCCAGGTTGAGAGGCTAAGACAGGTGTTTTCACTAGCCCATTCTTGGTCCGGGGTGGGACACAGGAAGATAACTAGCTTGAGGACGAATTGTGCGGGCCGCGGCTGCGTCCGTAATTCCTCACTGTTCTTTCGGACTAGGACTACTCACTTCCACAAGCTGTATGCAAGTCGGTCCGTCATGAACCCGTAATGGCCTTGATGTCACGAATCGTAGGATTGCGGGACGCGCAGTGATCCTTTTGGCATCGTGCTCACTCGCGACAGGCCGACCAGAAGTTAGCGTTCTAACCTTGCTGCCGGAAGGTCTTGCGGACAGGAATGAAATCACACGGTTCTCAATAGCAGCATCTGCCCACCCACAAGTTAAAGACTTCTTGGACGGTAAGTATTCATACACTTCTCACGGCCCCTCGAGTCCTGTGCAGCAGCAAGTGGGTCCGAGCTCCGGAGCAACTCGGCTAGGCAAGGAAGGAAGATGGTCTCCAAATCCTGAAGCGCAGTCTTCAACTCCCGTGCCCCGGGTTGCTTTGGGAGGGCGGTTCTTCTCGTCGTTCCTCTGCTGCTGGCGAAGCCACTGGCAGCAGCTTCGCTCGCTCGAGAGTCCGAGAGGAGCAAAAAGGATTTGTTTGCTCTGCGATTCGTGTCTCGAAGGCGAAGGCTTAGAGCGAGAGATGATGAACTCGTAGAGGTAGAGAGCACTGCTCCCCTTCCCTGAGCAAGCTTCCCCCCCTTGTCGCTGCACAGCCGCAGGCCGCGCGATGGCTGGGGGGAGCGGCACGACAGGCAGTGCTGGGGGAAACTATGGGAAACTACACTTCACCCCGCCGTGACCTTCACGGGTTGCGTTCTATCACACCTAGCGGCGTGCTTGCATGCACGAAGCCATGTCCAGACCTGCCCCCGATCTGAAGCTCACGCGCACTTAAATTCGTCCACTGTCGTTGTTCTGCATCTTGGCACAGGCCGGTGCATCTCTCGCCCGGCTGGGAAAGGGTCGGACTCCCAGATTGGGCACATGGCGGCTCTAGCCTGGTAAGCCGCATGCTGCAAGAGGTATTCAGTACTACAGTACCGCAGAGTGGTCCCTGTGTTCTCACTGGAAGGCAGAGTTGGGGATTTGACGAAAGGCTTCAAGGAACTTTCCGACAACGTATGTCCATAGCATCCCTGCCAGTTCTACGCCTGCCAGTTCACGTTGTCATATGTCTCATCTGTTCCTGCATGGTATTCCCTCATTAACTCCCACAGCCCTTCAATATCCCCGAGTCCCTGGAGCCTCGGGACGCCCGAAGCTCACCAGGCCTAAGCACCGACGGCCTCCGCGACGACCTCGAGAGCAGGGCGTGTCTTGACTGTGCTTACAGGTTCTCGCGCGCACGTTTGTAGTAGGTATATGTCAGCATATGTACTGGTAGTGGTCGAACCTGGGCTGAAGGGAGTGCCAGAGTTCATGATGCTTTCGAGCTTGCATTCCTTTTAGCCAATCGCATTAGTAGAGTGCTGCTTCCCTGGGATGCTTGAGGGCCTTCTGGCCTCTTGAGTTGCATCAGATGATTCGGGTCCGTTGGACTTCCGCATGCACTTGCATCGTCCTCTGGTTTTGCGTGTACCTCTACAACCATGTGCACACATGCTGCATGCAGGCATGCATGCATGAAGGTACACAAAAGCAGACTTCCTACATGAATCGATGCGCTGTCACGCGTTTGGAGGAATCGGTGTTCAGGTCTGGAGCACCAGAGTCGCTGGAGGTCGCCCTGACAGACATCCTGGCAGCACTTCGTTTGTCTTACTGTACTAAGTATGAATCTGCATGCAGCAATATCATGAGTTCATGCATGCTCGCATTTATGTGTGTACAAGTGCATTGCAGTAGTAGCTGTAACTATCGTTTCATGGTTATGGGTATCGTTGTGCGAGTTTGTAGGTATAGCCGAAGTTAGCAGATACATGTACACTTCCAACCACAATAATGGTTATGGTTATGGGTCATAGCTATAGTTGCAACTACCGCTATAGTTGTAGTTCCAGGTATAGTATACGGTACGAAAACGCATAGGCCAATGCACATGCGCGTGTACACCAACCTGCCGATCCGAACCTGCCCCCGCATACATACACGGCTTCTGAGACCCCTCTGAGTCCGAATCAACAGCTGCATCCAGACATCTGATCAGCTATGTGCACAGGGTGTGACAAGCCATGGGCCACGCAGAGTTGCTTTGTCAGTGCACATGCAAGGAATGGGGGAGGCTGCTTGCTGTCCAGGATGACACCCCACGATACGAGACTTGCCGGCAAATGAAATCAACAAGTCGACTCGGTCGGAGGCTGTTTGTTTGCCGGCTTTGCGCAGAACAGCTGGTGAAAGCGTTCGGAGACGGTTCTGTCTTCATCGCCGCAGGAAAGCCCCCAGGGCAACGTTTTCATGACCTTCCGCACCGTCTTTCTGGCTTCCAAGGAGACTGTTCACGCAAGTTCATGCAGGGGGTTTCTAGACTTTCTAGATTCGGAGACTTTGCCTTTCCAACAGCTGTTGTTGGCAGGCCTGCGCGCTGTGCTTGCAGACTGCGGCGAGCGGCTCCTCGGTTGAACTTACGGAGAGAGCCAGGGCTTAGGTGGGACACCCAGAAGCACAATTTCAAGCCTTGAAGGCTTGAAGGGTTAAACAGCCTTGAGACGTTGCCCAACACCGGAAGAGCATCTACTTCCTGATCTACTCGTTTGCATCTTGTCTGTACAAGCAGTGACAGTCTGAGTTTCCGGCCAGCCGTATCAAGCGAAGTGCCGTGCCTTGATAAGAGCAGCCTCGTGCCAGCATCGGAGGGCGTTTCTCGTGCCGCCCCGTCAGGTCTCGCCTCCAGCCGGCGCTGTTCCACTGTGCCACAACTAGAAGCCTGCAGCACGGCAGAATTAACAAGAAAAAACAGGCTGCTGCCGCTGCTGCTGGCGATGGCGATGATGCCACCAATACCTTCACTGGAAGGACGCACCACCACCACCACCACCATCATCATCATCATCATCACCATCATCATCATCGTCGTCAAGATCATGGTCGAGTCGTCGATAGCCATAAGAACTTCATGACTCGTACTATTGTCATCAGCACAAGCAGCGTCATCAGTAAGATCAGTGTCGAAAACATATTTGCCTCGAGAACGAACATCATGCGCATCAGAGGTTTATGACTCCGCCAGCCCCACCATAATGCTCAGCCCGGCCCCCACAGTTGCCGCCACTGTCACAGTACTCATCACCATAAATTTCATTGCAACCGTTGCGATCTACGTAATACCAGCAAGACCAGCAGCGGCACCAGCAACACCAGCCTCACCAGCGCCAGCATCACCACTAGCACCACCAAAACCCACAGCGGCACCGGTACCGTAGGATTTGGGCTGTGGGTTTAGTTTGAGCTGAAGGCTGCCATGTAGTCAAAGCAGAAGGCTTCTCAAGAGCAGGATGGTTAAAGGGGCTGCCGTTCAGTGCAGAAGGTTTGACGATGTTTGATGGCCGGCATGTCATTGCAGCGTTGCCTTGGCGTGGTTAGTGCATCCGTATCGAAATGAGGCAAAGTCTGGCAGGCCTTTTGCAAAGCGACTTGTCTGAATAAACCATTCGAGCGACTGCTATTACCCCCCGGAAACTAGCCTTAACCGTTCT